CCCCGCCCCAAACAGATTTGGTATGTATACTGCCATTATTTACGATAAGATTAAATTCTGTGGAGTTAAGCAGACTTTCTCTGAAAGGAAATATACTGAATGGTCCAAAAGGACAACAATCTGACCAACTGTGAATTAAGATGCTTTTCCTTGTCATAGTTCTTCAAACTTCTTTCTTTTGTTTTCCTAGTAACAAGAATTTAAATGGCTCCCTCTTGTGGCTTGAGAAAAGCAGTATCTTGTTCATTTGCAGAAAGTCCTTGAACAGAAATTAGAATTATTCTATATACATATGTGTGCAAATGCATAACTAGAGTGCCATATGAATATATAACAATATGTGTGGTGGTGACTGAACGCACATCTATCTCTTGCTGCTCAGGTACTCTTGAAAGTACCCAAGCATGACTCTACTGTTTCCCTTTAGCTGTATATTGTTAGAGTAGGGGAAAATGGATGGTGAACCATATCATGTCCCATCTAATTTTGTAATGCAGACTGGACTATATCTGTGTCTTGCAGATAACTCTGTCTTTAAATTTGTCTCTTGAATCACAGAATCACAGAATCATTTAGGTTGGAAGGGACCTCTGGAGATCATCTAGTCCAACCTCCCTGCTCAAGCAGGGTCACCTAGAGCATATTGCCCAGGATCACATCCCGACGGGTTTTGAAAAATCTCCAGGGAAGGAGACACCACTACCCCTCTGGGCAACCTGTTCCAATGCTCTGTCACCCTCACAGTGAAGAAGTCTTTTCTCATGTGAGCACAAAATATCTGGATAGCATAACTTCCTTTTTTCTGACACCTTTTTCTGTACGTGAGCAAATCTGAACCCTGGAAGGTGTGGGAGGAGGGTAATTAGAACTCTGAAGGAAAGCTATGAGCATAAATGACTTGGTGAATGGCAGGAAGTGTAATTGCATTTTGACAGCCCTTCGTGTCTTTCCTTCTTTCTGGTATCTGCTTGCTGATAAAACTTTGGCTCAGGCTTTTAACTCATGAAGGCTTTATTCACAATAACTAGTGGCTATAAAGTTCTGAAATGAAGAACTGAGCCATCACAGAATGGGGCATGCTTTAGCAACTTTGCTTATTAAGCAATAATCTTGGAAACAGATATGGGAGAGTCCTTGTGTAATCCTTGTGTAAGACATACTGAGGTACTGGTGACCTTATTAGGCTAATTAAATGTATACACAGGCAATGTCTATTAAAACTTGTGAGAAAGCAGGTCGGAAAGGTTTTGTTCCAGGACTACTGATTTCAGTTCTGTGGTTCCTCAAAAAGGTTGTCAATGAATACTTATAAATGCTTTTTTAAAAAAGACTAGGCTTACTGTAGAGTAGGACTAATTATACAGATGGCTTTACAGCTTGATAAACCTACTTTGCAGATTAATATCTCCTTTGAGAATTAAGTTCTTACGGCTTATGCTGATTCAGAAGCCTGGCGGTATAGACTCAGGAGGCTTACGTTCACCAGGTTGAAGGAGGGGGCTTTAAAATGTTATATTGTATGTCTTGCTTTAGTCATTGTCCTTCTTTGTGGAAAAAATATTTCCATGTTACAGCCTTATAAGTTGTAACAGAAAGACTATGGCTATCAGTATCAAATTATATACTCTAAAACTATATGTTTTAAAATCTTTTAAGTATTTTAAAAATTATATTTTAAAATCTAGGATCTCAGAAGTGAGAACATGGTTTGGAAAGAGATGCAGAAAGAGTCACCACTCCTTTGTAGAAAAGTTACTACAGTGCACTGAATAATCATCCAGTATCTCAAGTTTATTTTTAAGGGCCTGTATGGTATAACTACACTATTGTAGCACCTTACGATCTCTCTTTCCGCTTCAGAAAAGAGCTGATAAGGATAAAGACTTACTGAAGAGTAACTGAGACAGTTTAACAAATGTAAAGTGTGTACTTAAGCCCAAAACTGCTGTTTTGAAAGTTACCACCTGCACTAAATACACCTAACCTCAAAAACGCCCCTTTTACCTATCCAGTTATGCGGAGTCAGATTTCTGAACATAACCACCATCATGATCTTGATGGAACTGAGCTGCCTGATGCCTTAAGCTTGATGGGACAGGACCAGGTAACTGGGCATTTCATTACCTATTTCTTTTGAGGCACTCATTCCAAAATTGCTTGCAAAAATCTATATAAAGGATAATGAATTACTCAAAATAAGAATGGTTGGTTTTGGTTTTTTTAAACATGGCCAAATGCTGTTACTCTCGCACAATATTCGAGTGGCTGGGAAACCTGCCTGGTAAGCGTGAGAGACTGAGTTTTTCAGCTAGAGAGGGCTTATTAATATTTCCCCTTCTGGAGTCTGTGCCCCCTTTCCTCCTGGGGTATCACTGAACTGCAGGCTATTCTAGAAGAGGGGTGCTTTTAAAGACTTTAAGCTGTGTGGAGAAAAGAATGAGAAATCAACTGATCCATAAACCTCAAAGAGCTTTATCTTCAGTAAAGTGGTAAAGGGGCTAGGCTGCTGGAAAGGCAGCATGAATACGAATACTATGCCAACGCAGGAGTATTTTTCTAGCTGACTTGCATTTTTCCAGCTTTGCTTTATGAAATACTGGCCCACCTGAAATGGATCAATTAGAGCTTCACCTCACACCTCTAAATGTTAGAAGGTAAAAATATTCAAATTGACATTTGCCTCTTACAGTATTTTCAACATTTTTTCCCTCCATCTCTGCAAAGGTATTCCTTTCTCACTGACTCAGAATGAAAGTAGAAGATTTCATGCTCACTTCATTTACTTGTTTTGTAGCAGAAGACTATAATATGGCAGAATTAAGTTGTGAGCCGTGCTTCAGCTATCTTTATGTTGCTGTTGCATTTGCCTGATTAAAATTGTACTTGTAGAATTGAAAATGGCTATGTGAATAGTTCCTTTCAGTAAAAAACTGAAAGAACAGGAGGGATTGATAAACATCTGCAAAGCTACAGGCTTGGAGGTGAGGCTAATTAGAAATTAACATCACCTTGCAACAGGAGAAAAGCTAATACTTAAATAGTAATGGTGGCAGAACTTACTATTAATTTATTGGTTTTAATGCTGAAATGGGAAATATCAATACCTTTCATGTCACTGAGTCGGTTCTCTGCGTAACGTTTGAATTCAGATAAGTGAAGTACATAACAAATACTTATGGTATGGGGGGGGGGGGAAAGGTAGGTCCTTACTCTCTTGAGAATTAAGAACCCAAGTTATCCAAGAATCAGTCCCATCAAGCTACTGAGAAAATGTCATTCCTTCAGGTGCTATTTTGTCTAGCAGATCTATCTAGATCTGATACTCCAGAAATTATGGAGTGACAGTAAGACTAATATTAAAAAACATACCCCAAGGAAACCTCAGGGCTGTGCTCTTCACATCTCTTGGGAAGAAAATTAGGTTCACAGCTCCTTAGTGAGCTTTTATGCCTTGTTTCAGCTTTATCTGAGGCTAGTGCTTATGAAATATAATGTTTCTAAAATAAGGTTCAAACTTGGGATTTAATATTCTTTCCTAATGTGTGCAGGACCTTGGCAAGCAAAGATTAATATATATGTTGATTTTAAACAAGTCCTCCAACTGAAGGAGACATTAAGTCACTGATTATCCTACATCCACCTGTTATCTATTTCTATGAAGATCCTGCTACTAGCTCTTGTTACAGACAGGAAGTGACACTAACATAGTCCATAACTCTTAACTCAGTAACTCTTGTGCAATTGTAACTTCCACATTATATCAAAATCTTCAGTCAATAAGCAGCAAAAACAGTAGAGGTGAAATTAAGATTAATGCTGCAACTTTAATTTGACCTCTTTATAAAGGAGGTCAAATTTTATTATTATAGCAGCCTTTCAGATTCTGTGAAAACTTAGATCACTAAAACCAATGCATAGCTAACAAAAGATTGATAATTCTAAAGTCTTACAATCACTGGCATACGTGGGTGAAAGGGACTGAGGCATATCCCTGGACTCGAGCTTATAAACTGTATCGTAACTAATACCTATAGCTTCAATAGGTTGCAGGAGGATTAAAAAAAAATGAATTTATTCCATATATGTGCTTTTCCTGCACAAAATAAAGAATTATTGTGGTTAAACTATTACATTGTGCTTCTAGAAGAAGAATCACCGTGAGTTATTGAAACAAACTACTGAAGCCTTATACATAACTAGTTTCCTACCCCTTTCCTGTGCATTTTGTTGTTGTTTGGGGGATGGGGGGGCAGGGGGGAAGGAAGCCTCTTCTGTGCAAAGTATTTTAGCAATATACTTAAATGAGTGGAAGCTGCATAATGATTAGGTAGTTTTTCTGAACTGAGGAATGTGTTCCACTTAATGTATGCGGCATACTGTTCTCTTGATTCTTTCATTGATATTTTTGCATTACCGGCAGCTGCCAAATGCTAAAGCAGAGGCTTTAGAGGGTGGTTGTGCGTGTGTGTGTTTTTTGTTTTTTTTTTTAATGTATTAAACTGTCACTCCCTCTCATATGAATTCACATCTGAGGTGTTTACCTGCATCAAATGTAATCTTTGCCTCGGGGCTTTTCCTTCCTGCTTCCTCCTCTAATCATGCCTACTCTGGCCAGCCAGCACCGGAGCAGCCTGGCTCATGAGCTGATGCGTAGAAGCAAAATCACATTTTGCAATTCCAAAAATGCTTGTTCACTGTTCGCTTTGCTTCAAGCGTCTCCTGGTGAAGAGGAAAGATGCAGTGCTTCTCCTGGCAGGGCCTCCACCCGCCCTCAGCAGGAGGGGCTGGCCGTTGTCACCCGGACCGGGACCCTGCGAAACGCCTCTTCTCTCCCCTGAGGCACTCGCTACCTGCCCTGTCTTGGCGCTCTCTCGCTTTCCTTACGGGGCAGCCATTCCCGGCCCCTTCGCGCTA